TGTAGTGGACAGAGCGTTTGCCTCCGTGGCCTTGTGGATATCGTGTCTGCCCCGAGAACGGAAGCTGGTTCGAGCCCCGTCTTATCAAACCTTATTAAAAGATGATATTTTTTGTTACCATGCCTGGCATCAAGGGGATACCAGCTCCTTTAGTACAGGTCAACACAGAGTCACTACAAAGTGGGGTAACCATGTTAGACTGCGGCATGGTATCTCAGTGGGCTGGCACTATACAACCGACATCAGTCGGGACTAGTTCAAGTAGCCACACACACACACACACACACACACACACACAGAGCCACACACACACACACACACACACACACACACACACACACACACACACACACACACAGAGCCACACACACATACTACACAAGTACAATAAAACGTTATAGACCAACCTACGAGTACCACAACCACTTCTACGGCAGCTACTTCTACTACGCCTACGACCGCTACTACAACTACACACACACAGCCACAGACAGCCACACACACACTTAGCCCCCCCCCCCCCCCGCCAACACACACATACACACACACAGCGTTGTCGGTACCGGAGACTGTATGTAACGCAGGACCCCTACATGCTGACATAGCCAGTTTGGAAATGTGTATTTATGTTACGGCAAACACAACATGACAGTTTGACACACGAATTAGTCTTCAATAAAAACGGCATATTCTGCAGATCTTTTTGCATAGAGACATTCATCTCTGTCAATATTCCACATACACCAGCGACAGCCGACCCGCCGTCTCTACTTAAACACAACACTATCAAGTACAATATTTGTGTGAAAAACCCCTGGGTAAGATAGTGTTACATCAAGTGTTAATTTTGACGAGATACAGTCACAAAAATAGAGATATAAACTAACTCAGGATCACATTCTATGAACAAATAGCTATAAAAAAATAGTTTTTTTTTTTTGTGGGGCACCCTTTCCCGACCCTAACAGGGCCCCTTTTCACCGGTTCTTTGTCGGGGCTATTTTCGCTCCCCAATAATGAGCATGAGACGACTTCAGTCGACTTGTGATACCACTGAACGTGAATTTCTGACACTCCGCAAATTACAAATCTTCGGAGTATGTATATAAATTTAATCGTCATGCAATATGTCTTTCCCATTTTATTTGAAGCATCGTCGGGTTTCGGTAAAGGTCGGCTTCCCGAGGCAAGGGAGTTAACAGACTATATAAGCCCAGTTGCTGAACTAGGCAGGAATTATGAAGTTATATTTTGGTTGAACAATGCAAGGTCTATGCAGAGTTCATTAAAATCGCGTAACGAAATCGACATGCGGCTCGTAAACTGCAGTGCAGATTTCGGTCGATTGCAGAATTTGAAAAGTATGTGTACCGTCAACATTCCGTAAATAGAAAATTGCACGCGTGATCTGATGCACTTCGCAAAGTAAGACCCGTTTTATTACAATATAGATCTTGATAATCGATCAGATCGTCTTCCCTGGGCGCCGCCATTTTGTTTGAAGCAAATGCAAGTGACATGAGATTTGGAATCTCATTGGTCAGTAGGAAGGTCATAGACGGGACATAACTCGTAATAGCTAGTGGTGGTAGTAGTTGTAGCAGTAGAATTAGTAGTAGTAGTAGTAGTAGTAGTAGTAGTAGTAGTAGTAGTAGCAGTTGTATTAGTAGAAGTAGAAGTCATTACTAGCTTCAGTATTAGTAAAAGTTGTATCATTCGTAGAAGCAATAATGTTAGTTGTCGTAGTCGTCGAAGTAGTAATAGTAATGACAGTAGTAGTAGTAGTAGTAGTAGTGATGTTTTGTTTGTTGTTTAACACTGAACTGAGCAGAATTCCAGCTATATGACGGAGGTTTGTAAATAACCGTGTTTGGACCAGACAATCTAGTGATTTACATCATAAGAATCGATCAACACTATATCCATCAACCAAGTCGTTAAGCACAGAAGTAGTGGTTTGGCGGTATTGCTGCAGCCGCTACTACTGCTACTACGACTACGACTACAACGACTACTACCAACTACTACTGACACCACTGGCCCGTGAAGATCCGGTGTACAATAGGTCTTCAGCATCCCATGCTTGCCGTAAAAGAGGCGCAAGAGGTAAAATGGTTGTCGAAAGAGGCGACTAACGGGATCGGCTGACTTATGCTACCGTAGGCGTCACAACGTTGCGTGCATTTGGCAGCAGTTACTAACGTAACAGAACTTGCTGTTATACACGCAGCCACGTGGTAGCAGCCTCTCAGACATCCCTCCCACACAGCGAAAACATAATCTGCAGTTTATGTCGTATGAAAAAAGCTATTTAATTATGCGGTGTTTAAACAATGCAACGTTCCCTGGGGTACCGTTTCCGCACACACAATAAACAGAGTTATCGCCCCTTTGTTACACAAAATAGGCTACTGAAGATGTCAAAAGCGTAAACCTTTCTCTCCTTTTCGACTGTTAAAGTCCTTTAGTGTGATAGTTTCAGCAGTAGTACATGTATGTCTGCCAATTGCAATATAGCTCAACCAGACCCAAGCCACACAGGATGAGTCAAGGAGATAAGACAGCCCGGAATGCACGCATGACACACAAACTACTTTTTCTCAAAGTTACGTACAATTAAAAGTAGTATAAAAATCACGCTGCGTTTTAATATAAGCACTTTGAAAAAGTGAATTCTTCTACAGGGGATGTCAGAGAGAGGATACAGATCAAGAAGACTCTACCCCCCCTTTTGTCGTAAGTATACTAATGTGTTTACGTTTTGTTTAAAGGGCAAGTTCACACGGAAATAAACCTATTTTTATTGTACTTTTTCCACATTAAAAGTGTTAACCTAGAAGTGTCATAGACAAAAATATAAAAATATCACTAATAATTGACATATTTTTTGCATTAAAATGATTTATATTTTTCACATTTACAAAGTGTTCTATTTCCATAACAAAAACACCATGGCTTATGCCCCTTACAATATGACGTCATTGGTGCCAATTGATAAACATTATGACGTCATCATGCTTTGTTAGAGCCGTTTCACGTGGTGTAGGTACAGGTGTGTGATTCTAGCGTCTCAGATGCCAGCCAGCATAGTGTTATGCTGAGTCACCACTGCGCCGGAGTGTGTCGTGGGCCATGTTGTTTTACCACAAACTGGTACCTGATATCTTTTGCGTTGAGAATAGACAGGGACCCAGTTGAATTGGCACCAATTACGTCATAATCTAAGGGGGATAACTCAGGCCTGTTTAGCTCGAAAAACGACGGCCTCATAACGGCATATCATTTTCACACTATTGTGAGCTTCCTACTTTCACTGTGAAAAAAATGAGTGTATATTTTCAAACACAGATACTTACTAATTCTAAAATTGCGTTTTGTTTAGAAAAAGATAGAAAGTGTTTTTTGTGTGTACACTTCCCCTTTAAATTAATAGGACAATATTGTTTTACGTCCTGGAATATTCAAGCAATATCACGACAGGACGCCAGAAATAGGCCCACACAGCATTGTTCCCCTATGCGTAAGCACATCATTTGACCAATGAAGATCCTTATCAGAATAGGTCTTTAGCAACCCATGCTTGCCGTAAGATGCGACTAACGGGATCGGGTGGTCAGACTCGCTGACTTGGTTGATGCATGCCATCGTATCCCAATTGTGTGGATCGATGCTCATGATGTCAATTACTGGATTGTCTGGTCCAGATTCGATTATTTACAGACTGCCGCCTGGACCAGAAAATCCAGTGAGTGACATCATGAGCATTGATCTACGCAATTGGGATACGACCTGCATCAACCAAGTTAGCGAGCCTGACCACCCAATCCCGTTAGTCGCCTCTTACAACAAGCATAAACGCCTTTTTAAGCAAGCATGGGTTGCTGAAGACCTATTCTGACCCGGATCGTCACGGATGTATATATGCTTGTCAACCATACTCTGTACATCATTTGCTTGATAACGGTGTTAGAACCTACACCGAAACTTCGCTCTTAATTGTAATTAAGAAGTTGTTCCTCCATATATCTTATCCTTACTTAATATTAACTCAATACGCTTATTCAGTATTCTCCGATTGAGGGCGAAGATGAAGCACTAAAACGTCGCTTCAAAGATTAAAGATGTCGTTATCCATAAAAAAAATTCATGTTTTCAAGTTTTTTGTTGTCAACGATTATTTCCTCCCATTCAGCACACGCATGTATGTTGACGGGTGATCAAGAAATGGCACACTCTATTTCAAGTACGCTGTATCTACGCTTAAGAAGAAATACTTAAATTAAACAGGTTCCTTGAAGCATGACTATTTTCCTGCTAAAGCGATTTCGAATGGGCGTTCAGCAGTATATCAGTGAATAAAACGTTCCATTTATTTCTAGCTGTATATATTTTGAGGAAGAAACGTGTTCCGGTTCAAAGTGTCCTCTTGACCCTTCTTTCAAGACGCACGAGAGAATCAAGATGTTGACGTCAGCCCGTGAACCTGATTGCTAGAACATTACATGGCTCTGAAATCTGATTCCGTTTCTTAATGCACATAATTCAGCAAATTTCTTTCCGTATTTATACCGATCCCCACTTTAGATGTTTAATTCCAATATTTGGTTCCTGGTAATCATTTCGAGTCGGCTACTCATATTGCAAGTTAATAATTTAACTTGATGGAAACACTCGGGGAAAATATTTGATTACATTCCTATATTTAGGTATTTGATCCATTCAACTGATGGGCAACATATCTCGTTCACATACTCAAATATGATATTTAATGTTTTTAAGCAATATACACATTATATACAGGATCTGTTATGTATGGCCTGACGGGGTCGGTGAAGATGAAAGCGCTCGCCTGGAAATGAGTGAAATCTGCTCCGAGTGTTGAGATGTTAAGATACATACGACCAGAGAGTTGACTATTATCAGGAGTTTGGGACAACCAGGTATCTCTATGAAAGTTACAAAGATCTTCGATTGATTCAAGGTATCGATTAAACTCCAGTCTATTTCTTGTTGCAAAAATCGTTTCGATAGGGAGTGACTGAGAGTGACTGGGGTGATTGAGAATGACTGGGGTGATTGAGACTGACTGGGGTGACTGAGAGTGACTGGGGTGATTGAGATTGACTGGGGTGACTGAGAGTGACTTGGGGTGACTGAGGTGACTGGGGTGACTGGGAGTGATTGATATTGACTTGGGGTGACTGAGGTGACTGGGGTGACTGAGGTGACTGGGGTGACTGGGGTGACTGAGAGTGACTGGTGTGACTGAGAGTGACTTGGGGTGACTGAGGTGACTTGGGTGACTGGGGTGACTGAGAGTGACTGGGGTGACTGGGGTGACTGAGAGTGACTGGGGCGATTGAGAATGACTGGGGTGATTGAGACTGACTGGGGTGACTGAGAGTGACTGGGGTGATTGAGATTGACTGGGGTGACTGAGTGTGACTGAGTGTGACTGAGAGTGACTGAGAGTGACTGAGTGTGACTGAGGGTGACTGAGAGTGCCTGAGGGTGACTGAGGGTGACTGAGTGTGACTGGGGTGACTGAGAGTGACTGGGGTGACAGAGGGTGACTGAGAGTGACTGGGGTGGATGGGGTGACAGAGGGTGACTGAGAGTGACTGGGGTGACTGGGGTGACGGAGGGTGACTGAGAGTGACTGGGGTGACTGGGGTGACTGGGGTGACAGAGAGTGACTGGGGTGACTGGGGTGACTGAGGGTGACTGAGAGTGACTGGGGTGACTGAGGGTGACTGAGAGTGACTGAGGGTGACTGAGAGTGACTGGGGTGACTTGGGTGACTGAGGGTGACTGAGGGTGACAGAGAGTCACTGAGTGTGACTGAGAGTGACTGGGGGTGACTGAGTGTGACTGAGAGTGACTCGGGGTGACTGAGAGTGACTGGGTGACTGAGTGTGACTGAGAGTGACTGGGGTGACTGAGAGTGACTGAGTGTGACTGAGAGTGACTGGGGTGACTGAGGGTGACTGGGGTGACTGAGTGTGACTGAGAGTGACTGGGGTGACTGAGAGTGACTGAGTGTGACTGAGAGTGACTGAGGGTGACTGAGAGTGACTGAGAGTGACTGAGGGTGACTGAGTGTGACTGAGGGTGACTGAGAGTGACTGAGGGTGACTGAGAGTGACTGAGAGTGACTGGGATGACTGGGGTGACAGAGAGTGACTGGGGTGACTGAGAGTGACTGGTGTGACTAGGGTGACCGAAGGTGACTAGGGTGACTGAGAGTGACTGGGGTGACTGAGGGTGACTGAGAGTGACTGGTGTGACTAGGGTGACTGAGGGTGACTGAGTGTGACTGAGAGTGACTGAGAGTGACAGGGGTGACTGAGGGTGACTGAGAGTGACTGAGGGTGACTGAGTGTGACTGAGGGTGACTGAGAGTGACTGAGGGTGACTGAGGGTGACTGAGTGTGACTGAGGGTGACTGAGTGTGACTGAGGGTGACTGAGAGTGACTGAGGGTGACTGAGTGTGACTGAGTGTGACTGAGTGTGACTGAGAGTGACTGAGAGTGACTGAGGGTGACTGAGGGTGACTGAGAGTGACTGAGGCTGACTGAGTGTGACTGAGAGTGACTGAGGGTGACTGAGAGTGACTGGGGTGACTGAGAGTGACTGGGGTGACTGAGAGTGACTGGGGTGACTGAGAGTGACTGGGGTGACTGGGAGTGACGGGGTGACTGGGGCACGGAGAGGGACTGGGGTGACTGGGGTGACTGAGAGTGACTGAGGTGACTGAGAGTGACTGGGGCACGGAGAGGGACTGAGAGTGACTGAGGTGACTGAGAGTGACTGGGGCACGGAGGGGGACTGGGAGTGACTGGGGTGACTGAGAGTGACTGAGTGTGGCCGGGTGACTGAGAGTGACTGGGGTGACTGAGAGTGACTGGGGTGACTGAGAGTGAATGGGGTGACTGGGAGTGACGGGGTGACTGGGAGTGACGGGGTGACTGGGGCACGGAGAGGGACTGGGGTGACTGGGGTGACTGAGAGTCACTGGGGTGACTGAGAGTGACTTGGGCACAGAGAGGGACTGGAAGTGACTGGAAGGGACTGAGAGTGACTGGGGTGACTGAGAGTGACTGGGGTGACTGAGAGTGACTGGGGTGACTGGGAGTGACGGGGTGACTGGGGCACGGAGAGGGACTGGGGTGACTGGGGTGACTGAGAGTGACTGAGGTGACTGAGAGTGACTGGGGCACGGAGAGGGACTGGGAGTGACTGAGGTGACTGAGAGTGACTGGGGCACGGAGGGGGACTGGGAGTGACTGGGGTGACTGAGAGTGACTGAGTGTGGCCGGGTGACTGAGAGTGACTGGGGTGACTGAGAGTGACTGGGGTGACTGAGAGTGAATGGGGTGACTGGGAGTGACGGGGTGACTGGGAGTGACGGGGTGACTGGGGCACGGAGAGGGACTGGGGTGACTGGGGTGACTGAGAGTGACTGAGGTGACTGAGAGTGACTGGGGCACGGAGAGGGACTGGGAGTGACTGAGGTGACTGAGAGTGACTGGGGCACGGAGGGGGACTGGGAGTGACTGGGGTGACTGAGAGTGACTGAGTGTGGCCGGGTGACTGAGAGTGACTGGGGTGACTGAGAGTGACTGGGGTGACTGAGAGTGAATGGGGTGACTGGGAGTGACGGGGTGACTGGGAGTGACGGGGTGACTGGGGCACGGAGAGGGACTGGGGTGACTGGGGTGACTGAGAGTCACTGGGGTGACTGAGAGTGACTTGGGCACAGAGAGGGACTGGAAGTGACTGGAAGGGACTGAGAGTACGTTGGTGAACAGTCACAGCAATAGAGACCTCGGTAGAGGATACTTAGTGTAGATCCAGTAAAGTCTTAAACTTGTCATTCCAGATGCTGTTAATCAAGAAGTCCTATATTTGTCAGGAACGACCATACAAATATACAATATGAGTGAAAGCGGCACAAAACATTTCTATAATCAAAAGGAATCTCCACTGAAAGCCGAGCCCACTGTACGATTCCGACTATAGCAGCAGCATGTGTTTATGTGTTTATCACTATCAAATAGTTATGGTGCTAGGTGTTCGCGAAATCTCTCCTTTATTGTTTTCAGAAACTATTGAAGTTACATGAATGAAAGTGTGCATGCTTATCTAAGAGGCATGCTTATCTAAGAGATATGCTTCTCTAAGAGACATGCTTATCTAAGAGGCATGCTGATCTAAAATTCATGCTTATCTGAGAGGCATGCTTATCTAAGAAGCATGCTTATCTGAGAGACATGCTTATCTAAGAGGCATGCTTACCTGAGACACATGCTTATCTAAGAGGCATGCTTACCTGAGACACATGCTTATCTAAGAGGCATGCTTATCTAAGAGAAATGCTTATCTAAGAGGCATGCTTATCTAAGAGGCATGCTTGTCTAAGAGACATGCTTATCTAAGAGACATGCTTATCTAAGAGACATGCTTATCTAAGAGGCATGCTTATCTCAGAGACATGCTCATCTAAGAGACATGCTTATCTAAGAGACATGCTTATCTAAGAGAAATGCTTATCTAAGAGGCATGCTTATCTGAGAGACATGCTTATCTAAGAGACATGCTTATCTAAGAGAAATGCTTATCTAAGAAGCATGCTTATCTAAGAGACATGCTTATCTAAGAGACATGCTTATCTAAGAGGCATGCTTATCTAAGAGGCATGCTTGTCTAAGAGACATGCTTATCTAAGAGACATGCTTATCTAAGAGACATGCTTATCTAAGAGGCATGCTTATCTCAGAGACATGCTCATCTAAGAGACATGCTTATCTAAGAGAAATGCTTATCTAAGAGAAATGCTTATGTAAGAGGCATGCTTATCTAAGAGAAATGCTTATCTAAGAGGCATGCTTATCTAAGAGAAATGCTTATCTAAGAGGCATGCTTATCTAAGAGACATGCTTATCTAAGAGGCATGCTGATCTAAAATTCATGCTTATCTGAGAGGCATGCTTATCTAAGAGGCATGCTTATCTAAGAGACATGCTTATCTAAGAGACATGCTTATGTAAGAGGCATGCTTATCTAAGAGACATGCTTATCTAAGAGAAATGCTTATCTAAGAGACATGCTTGTCTAAGAGACATGTTTATCTAAGAGACATGCTTGTCTCAGAGGCATGCTTATCTAAGAGATAAGCTTCTCTAAGAGACATGCTTATCTAAGAGACATGCTGATCTAAAATTCGTGCTTATCTGAGAGGCATGCTTATCTAAGAAGCATGCTTATCTGGGAGACATGCTTATCTAAGAGACATGCTTATCTAAGAGAAATACTTATCTAAGAGAAATGCTTATCTAAGAGACATGCTTATCTAAGAGACATGCTTATCTAAGAGACATGCATGTCTAAGAGACATGCTTATCTAAGAGACATGCTTGTCTCAGAGGCATGCTTATCTAAGAGATAAGCTTCTCTAAGAGACATGCTTATCTAAGAGACATGCTGATCTAAAATTCGTGCTTATCTGAGAGGCATGAGAGCAGCAGCATGTGTTTATGTGTTTATCACTATCAAATAGTTATGGTGCTAGGTGTTCGCGAAATCTCTCCTTTATTGTTTTCAGAAACTATTGAAGTTACATGAATGAAAGTGTGCATGCTTATCTAAGAGGCATGCTTATCTAAGAGATATGCTTCTCTAAGAGACATGCTTATCTAAGAGGCATGCTGATCTAAAATTCATGCTTATCTGAGAGGCATGCTTATCTGAGAGACATGCTTATCTAAGAGACATGCTTATCTAAGAGAAATACTTATCTAAGAGAAATGCTTATCTAAGAGACATGCTTATCTAAGAGACATGCTTATCTAAGAGACATGCTTGTCTAAGAGACATGCTTATCTAAGAGACATGCTTATCTAAGAGAAATGCTTATCTAAGAGACATGCTTATCTAAGAGACATGCTTGTCTAAGAGACATGTTTATCTAAGAGACATGCTTATCTAAGAGAAATGCTTATCTAAGAGACATGCTTGTCTCAGAGGCATGCTTATTTAAGAGATAAGCTTCTCTAAGAGACATGCTTATCTCAGAGGCATGCTTATCTAAAATTCATGCTTATCTGAGAGGCATGCTTATCTAAGAAGCATGCTTATCTGAGAGTCATGCTTATCTAAGGGACATGCTTATCTAAGAGAAATACTTATCTAAGAGAAATGCTTATCTAAGAGACATGCTTATCTGAGAGACATGCTTGTCTAAGAGACATGCTTATCTACGAGACATGCTTGTCTAAGAGACATGCTTATCTAAGAGAAATGCTTATCTAAGAGACATGCTTGTCTAAGAGACATGCTTATCTAAGAGACATGCTTATCTAAGAGAAATGCTTATCTAAGAGACATGCTTATCTAAGAGACATGCTTGTCTAAGAGACATGCTTATCTAAGAGACATGCTTATCTAAGAGAAATGCTTATCTAAGAGAAATGCTTATCGAAGAGACATGCTTATCTAAGAGACATCCCGTTCTTAGAGGCTCCTGCGTGGAGCCCCTACTCGTTCACTGAGCATACAGGGGTTTATATACATATCCTAAGTGTAAGTGTCCTTGACAAAACAATTGGGAAAAAATCGAAATCGTGCAAAATTGGGATTTGTCTACATGCTCATGAATACAGTCGGAATCGTGAAATCGACTGTCTCATATTTTGAGATTTCTCGTGATTATGGAAACGTGTTTTGTCGTATTTTAGTCCAATTTTCGTAAACTCAGGTATTACAGCATTGTATGTGTCTATTTCATGTAATCGGTCCTGTTGTCAGTGAAATACAAGGTATCCCCACAAAGCCATATTGGTTGTAACAGCTACTTTGTTTACATCATGAACATAAACAACGAACATCCTAATTCTGACTTGGCGAGTTTTATTGACATTTTCTGCAGATTTGGGATCGAATATCGGCCTCTGAGCAGATCTAGATAAATCACTGCCAAAGTAGCATTGCAAAAATAATATTCCATTTGCATGATAAACGTCTTGGTACAAAAAATGAACGAAATCATGAATATGTACATAAAGACGCCCGGAGTGAACTTACGTCCTTTTACGTGTTTACTGGAACCGATGATGTCAACAAACAGAAATAAACATTTGGGGGCTAGTATTGATTCAAATCTGTCATGTAAGTTAAATGATGGAATTTTATACAAGAACTTTGTTTTGGTTGATTGCTTGTTGTTTAACGTCGCAGTTTAAATCCTGGGCTATATGGTACATGGTCTTGTGTTCTGAACACAGGTCACAAAATAGGTGAGTTAAGTACCTCGGGTCGCAGAGAATCCTTGGATGGAGGACCGTGTTCGGCTTGACCCCCGAGAGTTTCAGGCAATGCGGCACATGTGCTGTCTCCGTGTGTGACTGTTCAGCTTGACCCCTGAGAGTTTCAGGCAATGCGGCACATGTGCTGTCTCCGTGTGTGACTGTGTTCGAAATATGTCTGTCAGTTAGTTCGGGTGAAGTTATTCAGAAGCCAACGGATTCTGTGACCAAAGATATTACGGGAAGCCTATCGCCTGACCTCAGACTCGAGAGTTCGGTACATAGCTGTACGTTATACTCATGCACATACCTGCAGAAGGAGTTTTAACCCCTTGAATCAGGTGTTACTGTTCAATGCAATGGCCCAGTTGTCTAAGGCGCCGCAGTTCGCTGTGCACAGCTGCGTCCCTTGGGCACGCCAGAAACCTATGATTGTGAGTACGAATCCCGGTTCGCCCCGATTATGTTTCTAGGTTTGTCAGCACCATACCCGTTCTCGTCGGTTTCACCTCACGACACAATAAGATTCGAATGACGTCAACAATAACATCCGGATGACGTCAACAATAACGTCCGGATGACGGAAACAATACATTGTTGTCTCGTGACGTGATATGACCTTAGGGCACTTATGATTTTTATGAACACCGATATGTTTGCCCTCGTATGTAACAAACAACGCATTATTAATGCTCGGAACCGACTGTCATATTCGACCCGTGAAGATCCGGGGTAGAATAGGTCTTCAGCAACCCATGCTTGCCGTAAAAGGCCACTATCCTTGTCGTAAGAGGCGACTAACAGGATCGGGTGTTCAGGCTCGCTGACTTGGTTGATGCATGTCATCGTATCCCAATTGCGTGGATCGATGCTCATGATGTCAAAAACTGGATTGTCTGGTCCAGACTCGATTATTTACAGACCACCGTCATATAGCTGGAATATTGCTGAGTGCGGCGTAAAACAAACAAAACAAACAAAACCATCATATTCGAAGGGATTCCTGCTTGGGACATGGTCTGAGCTTCAAGACATACCACGTCCTTCTGTGAAAAGAGTACAAACATTTTTTTACCCACAACACGTTACGTTTTAGTACATGCATATCAAGCGCGTCCACTGAACAATTTTGTTGGTGTATAACCTAAGGACTTATTCCTGTTCTCGTTATCATGGGATTGTATTGGGTCCAAATTATGATAAATACTGTCGACAGAGCTTGTGAAGTCTGTACATATTGAAACAACAATCAATAACTTATATACTTCTAACCACAATATTCATAACTTCACCAACAAACTTCACCAAGAGACGTGTTAGGAATTTACATACAAATCGACAAAATATAATTACGCAATCGTGACATGTTCAGGGTTGGATGTGTGGGAATTTAAGCTTCTAAAATCATTTTAACTGTATAAATATACATGGCATATCAGTGTTAGCAGGTTGTTTATTACACCAGTGCTTGTCCCTAGAGTTCTAGAGTCAATGGACGCTTCTTTCAAGCAACGGGACTTTAATCTGCTGGGCAAAAGCAAGTATGCACTTGAAAATTAGATTTGGCCAAAACAAATTACAAAGGTTTTCAAAACCATACAAAACACAAAACAGTCGCCGAAACACTGCAAACTTGAGGTCCATAACAATAATGATACCCTTGTCAAATACGTCATCATCGAATTACCATTTCTTGTGAGTTTTATTTCATCCTCCATCAATTACGGGTGTGTACTTTCCTTTGCCCGGCATTTTTTTGTTCTTTTATTCTAAACGGAGAACGCGCGCCAGTGTACAACAATATGTTTTGAAGATGTTTAGAGATTTTGCTGCAGAAACATTATCTAGAAACTCGGTGAAATTTTTCGCCGAGTCGAATCATTCAGTCGAGATCAAGGAATCTCGTACCATCTCGTATTACCTACCCCTGGTTTGTGGGTAGACTGTCTCACCGTCCCCGAACCACATTATATTCATTTCCGCCCATCCCTTTCTTTAATGCAAAAGCGCAAAATGAAGCAAGTCTATATTTTCCTCAGTCTAGATCTCCTACCTCACTGGGGCTCCTTTTAAATTTAAGTGGAGTTATTTGTTTCTATCGGGCGGTAGGGTAGCCTAGTGATTAAAGCGTTAGCTAGTCACACCGAAACCCGGGTTCGAATCCCAATATGGGTACAGTGTGTGAGGCCCATTTCTGTTGTCCCCTGCTGATTATTGGTAAAAGCGGCGTAAAACCATACTCACTCACAACTTGTTTCTATCAAAATTATACATTTTTAGAGAATGAGCGTTAATCTTATTCCGCGACAGACTATTTACCCATTAACACAAGCATATCGGGAACCGACTAAATTGACGATAGTGTGTTTACAATATGAGACTGGACAGTGTCATTTCAGCCATGTTAAGAATCGTATTGATGACGTGAGAAAGACTTGTGACCGTTTCCTCTCTGCACTGACTAGATGGCTCTGTCCGATCGCTGTATCCCGACGCTAAAACCTATCCTTATCGTCAATCCTTCCACACACGTCGTTATCTTGAACATGTCCGAACCGTGTCTTAATGAAATGGACTAACACGGTTCTTTCACTAACCCGCCAATCATAGCCAACGTCTAAAGAAGGAGACATGTGATTGGTTGACCTGTAACTCACTTTGTAACGGGCTACTTGATTTGTAGCTGCCCTGGGGCGCTGTCAACCACAAGCCCACATGTGCCCTGGGTAAAGGTCAAAGGTGCTTCCTTGTATCTCACCGCGTAAAACACATGCTCGTCGTGTTATTTTGAGGTGGAGTCTGTAAATAACATAACCTGACTATTCTTTGATTGTTTTTCAGCACAGCTGGTAGAAAACGGAATATTTTTAAGAGGAATTACGGCACAAAACCCAGGGATATGATATTTATAAAATGTGTTGTTTCACGCTGCACACGGCAATATCCTAGCTATATGACGGCGCTCTGTTAAAAATTGACTCCAGAGACAATCCATTGAATAAGATTATGAACATCGATCTGCACGATTGCGTTCTTGCTTTTGCCCAGCAGATTAAAGTCCCGTTGCTTGAAAAAAGCGTCCATTGACTCTAGAACTCTAGGGACAAGCACTGGTGTAATAAACAACCTGCTAACATGATATGCCATGTATATTTATACAGTTAAAATGATTTAAGAAGCTTAAATTCCCACACATCCAACCATGAACATATCACGATTGCGTAATTATATTTTGTCGATTTGTATGTTAATTCCTAACACGTCTCTTGGTGAAGGTTGTTGTTGAAGTTATGAATATTGTGGTTAGAAGTATATAAGTTATTGATTGTTGTTTCAATATATACAGACTTCACAAGCTCCGTCGACAGTATTTATCATAATTTGGTCCCAATACAATCCCATGATAACGAGACCAGGAATAAATCCTTAGGTTATACACCAACAAAATTGTTCAGTGGACGCGCTTGATATGCATGTACTAAAACGTAACGTGTTGTGGGTAAAAACTTGTTTGTACTCTTTTCACAGAAGTAAGTGGTATGTCTTGAAGCTCAGACTGAAAAAATCCCATGTCCCAAGCAGAATCCCTTCGAATATGATGGTTTTGTTTGTTTTGTTTGTTTGTTTGTTTAACGCCGCACTCAGCAATATTCCAGCTTTATGACGGTGGTCTGTAAATAATCGAGTCTGGTCCAGACAATCCAGTTCTTGACATCATGAGCATCGATCCACGCAATTGGGATACGATGACATGCATCAACCAAGTCGGCGAGCCTGACCACCCGATCCTGTTAGTCGCCCCTAAAGGTTAACAACATACGAATCAGACATATGTACATTGACATAACTGTCATTTTTAAAAAAAAATAAAGAGGTCCTGAATCCCACCTAAGACTCCGGTTTGATGACCCAGCTGTGAGAGGCCCATTCTTTGCAGTCCGCATCGTAGTATCTAAAGACTCACTCACTCACTCGCTGGTGGGGATTACAAGTTAGACTTTGTCTCCAGAAGGAAGCAGTTCGTGAGAAGCGACCAAAAGGATCGCGTCGTGATTTAATTGACTGTATGTCATCATACCCGAAAGTATGGGTCGATGCTCATAATATTAATCACTCGATTATTTACAGCCCGTCATAAAGCTGTAATTTTGGGGCGTTAAACAAAACAAACATGGTCGACTTTGGGAAAAACATACACCGCATCCCATACACAATGACATTGTGGTCTTCTTAACTTAGACCGCCTCCGTGGTCTTGTGGTAGAGCATCCGCCCGGAGAGCGGAAGGTCCGGGGTTCGATTCTCGGCCGCGTCATACCAAAAGACGTTAAAATATGGTACTTGTTGTTACCCTGTCTGGCGCTCGACATTAAGGGGCTAAAACAAGGACTGGTCGGCTCGGAGTCAGTATACTGTGTCTGAGTGGGGTATACATGTTAAACTGCGGCATGGTATCTCAGTGTGCTAGCACTATAAATCGGCAACAGTCCGGACCAGTACAAGCAGCCACTCAAACACACTCACACCTGCATGCACGTCGCTATATAAGTGCAATAATCTTGGTCGCGACGTTAAACCCAATTTCACCTCACCTCACTTTTTAACTTAAGGTCTATCGTTGTTTATAAAATCGTAAAGAACAAGTTTTTCTTCGTAAATTACAATCTTAAAATAAATTTCTTTCACAATGTTTGTGAATAAATTGAGTTTATAAATGTTGTGTTTAACAAATCAGTTGGTTCAAATTACTTATAGAATAAAAAAATATAAAATGTAATTAATGTGTTTGATGGAAGTGCCGCCACTTAATCGAAAGCTATAAGGTCAAAGAGCGAAGTCTCGCTCATAACAAGGCTGTCCTTTCAGTGGTAAGTGGGTCCCGTAAACCAATCCACTCCGCGGTACCCAGTGTTTTCTTGTCCCCGATCTCGGACTGATAGACTTGTGCTTTTCATTTATCGCATGACCGAATCTATCTGGAAAAATCAGCATCTGTCCACGCGAGGAGGGCGCAGAATCAGACGCGAGCATGGTAGCGTAAACGCGCGCGTCTTCCGGTGTGCCGTCTTTCGAGGATACTATTAGCCGGAAGATTGATATTAGCAAATTAGGCGGAGACCTGAGACGGCTTCAGGTTGAACACGTAGCCCTGGTAGCTTTTAGTAGTCAGTGTAATCTTCCGTTTGTTTGAGAGAATTGTAAATAAAGTGTAATAGGTTGGACTATTTGTGAGTGAATTAACACATAGAAACAATCCTCTCAGGCGCGATTTCCCCTCAGAACACGCCAATTAGTGCACTTGATTGGTCAGCAAGGGCGACTGTCAGTGCTTCTGATTCTCTTTGTGAAAGAAACAGTCGTTGCTCCGAGTTACAAGAGAACGCGTTTCCGAATAAATAGAAAGACTTTTTTTTCTTTTTTGGGGGGGTCGGGGGGGCAAAAAGCCCCATAATCAGTCCTGCTGGGCATCACGTGACAATCACGTGACAGTCACTTTAGTCCTTTCCGTAGCTGGTAATGGGCATTCCATGTCTTTCTGGCAGTAAACACGCTTTTAAGACAGTTGTGATGTTAAATGTATTTTTCTTTAAATAGGAATTACCCTCGGATCGATTGACATCCAGATTTCTTTTATCAATGTCATACGAAAATCGCTTTTCTCAAACGATGCATAGTAGTCGTCATCATTACGCTAATCGGCGCAACACACTCCATCTCTCTTTCTGTCGGTTTCGAGTGATCAATCACATCACATATATTCTGGTGCTGTTTTTCGCATATTTTGTCAGATATTGTTTCTGTATCTATATCTGCGTCATCCTTTGTGCATCTACATTCACGTTTCCGTGATGAAGGCAGCTGGCGGGCCGCGGTGGTTACAGCCCTGTACCCGAGTTCTGTAATATACCGATCAAACACCGAGCACTTTATACCAAACCTTGACTTAACCGAGCACTTTATACCAAACCTTGATTTAACCGAGCACTTTATACAAAACCTTGATTTAACCGAGCACTTTATACAAAACCTTGACTTAACCGAGCACTTATACCAAACCGTGACTTCACCGAGCATTTATACAAAACCTTGTCTTAACCGAGCACTTTGTACAAAACCTTGACTTAACCGTGCATTTATACAAAACAATGACTTAACCGTGTATTTATACAAAACAATGACTTAACCGAGCATTTATACAAAACAATGACTTAACCGTGTATTTATACAAAACAATGACTTAACCGTGTATTTATACAAAACAATGACTTAACCGAGCATTTATACAAAACAATGACTTAACCGTGTATTTATACAAAACAATGACTTAACCGTGTATTTATACAAAACAATGACTTAACCGTGTATTTATACAAAACAATGACATAACCGTATATTTATACAAAACAATGACTTAACCGAACACTTATACAACACCTTGACTTAAGGTCCACTACAAATATGGCTTTGGTTCTGCATTGGATCCCCTTCCCCCTAAACCGTGAGGGACTTCTTGCGCGCATTCAAAGGAAGGTGAACACACCAGAAGGTAGTATAAATTCCTATACTTCGGACACCATTTTCCATAGTAAATTTGTCCACATTAACGCGCCATGACAGGGAATGGTATTTTTCTACGTTTGGACTGACGGGTTTCCGACTGACGGGTTTCCGACTGACGGGTTTCCGACTAAGGGTTTCTGACTGACGGGTTTCCGACTGACGGGTTTCCGACTAAGGGTTTCCGACTGACGGGTTTCCGACTAAGGGTTTCGCTGTACAAACACGGCATCGAACTCTGAAGGAAGTCACCCCATGATATCCGGAAGCTGGAAGAACCGACGGAACAACTTAATGGAATTCTTGTCAGCATCGGCGCCGATGTTATTGATCAGTTGGGAGTGATGTGAAGAAAGATTGAGCGACTCTAAACATATCGCCATTATATGGCACATTTTGGGAGTAAGCAGTGCTTGGAATAAGCACTTGATGACGGCTGTTATAGGTTTCATACAATGAACACTTTAAAGGGAGGATCAGCTGATGTCTTGCAAATTTTAAAGAACCTACCTGTCGTGACGGTTTGCCTTGATCAATATCTTTATCCGATTTCTTGATCAGAAAAGAATTACCTGAAAAAAATAAATAAAAACAGTTTCATTGAAGAAAAAGATTTGCTGGAATTCGATGTATACGTCACCACTGTGGTCAGTGTGAAGAACAAGTTTATGTTGTTGTTGTTTGTTTGTTTGTTTTTTGTTTAACGCCGCACATTTAACAATGTTCCAGCAATATGACGGCGGTCGGTAAATAATCGAGTCTGGACCAGACAATCCAGTGGTTTATATTATGAGCATCGATCCACGCAATTGGGATACGATGACATGTTTTAGCCAAGTCAGCGAGCCAGACAATCCGTTCCCGTTGGTCGCCTCTTACGACAAGCATAGTCGCCTCTTACAGCAAGTATGGGTTGCTGAAGACCTATCCTACCCCGGATCTTCACGGGTCACAAGTTTATGGCTTGGGGTACAAAATTAGAGAAATTTGTTAGAGACATGCAATTTTTTCTGAAAGGAGCATCCGAATGTTTTTAAAAATTATATTTCTTTTCAGCAAACAGTTAATATTTTTTAAAAAGCTGCGACAAATTTTTGTTTTCTTATTATATTTTGAAAATATGGTTTAGTTTTTGTCAGACCATAGCCCAGATCCTTGAACTGTTCATAATCGATATCTGTGAACAGACCACAGTCCAGATCCGAGAACAGACAATAGACCAGATCCGAGAACAGACAATAGACCAGATCCGAGAACAAACAATAGACCAGATCCGAGAACAGACAATAGACCAGATCCGAGAACAGACAGTAGACCAGATCCGAGAACAGACAATAGACCAGATCCGAGAACAGACAGTAGACCAGATCCGAGAACAGACAGTAGACCAGATCCGAGAACAGACAGTAGACCAGATCCGAGAACAGACAGTAGACCAGATCCGAGAACAGACAGTAGACCAGATCCGAGAACAGACAGTAGACCAGATCCGAGAACAGGCAGTAGACCAGATCCGAGAACAGACAGTAGACCAGATCCGAGAACTGGCCATAGCCAAAAAAACAAAAAACAAACACAACGAGCAACCCTACAATCTCATTCCCATACACACCCCACCCCACCCCTCACACACATATACACTCGCCCCACCCGTACCCACCCCTCATACACATATACACTCGCCCCACCCGTACCCACCCCTCATACACATATACACTCGCCCCACCCGTACCCACCCCTCATACACATACACACATACACACGCCCAAAGAAAAATGATTAAAAAAACAAAGCCAAGTAAGACATAAAATCAAAACTAAACGTAATAATATTGTAAATAAATTTTAATTAATTAATATTAATAAATATTGATAACGAAAAAAGAAAGAAAACAAAAAAAATGTCTTCGTACGAAATAATAGAAAAGATAACGTTAATTACCCCCACCCATCCCCACCCTAATCACCCCTCCATCCCCTCCCGAACCCCCACCGTCACTGTAACACAAGTTGTGGCGGTAGGCGCTCCGCTAAGCCAGTCTTCATCAACGATTAGCGTCAATCAAACAAAAAAAGTAACGGCAACTTTACAAACACCCAGTGTCCAAATCACATCACTGCATCCTCTTAAACAGCCGACCATGATAACCGGAGGCAAATCTGAAACTGATACGGGAATGTCTGTTCTCTGAAGCTTCCTCTTAATGATGCGAAACATCACCTCAAGTTTATAGTAGAGGCGTGAACCAGAGGGGGTCGACGTCGATAGACAACGGATTTATTTTGACATTAAACTATCTTCTTTGAAATTCGCTTTGTAATTTGTGCTTGAGTTTTGAAAACAAGAGGTAGTACACGTTCTCCCATTTCTTACAATTGCTAACAAACTGTCTTCAAAGCAATAGAAATTCCTCCGTAGCTTTTCTTGATTCACAAATTCACGTTGGATTTGATTTCGACAGTCATAAATCCAAAACGTACTTGATATTGGAGTTGTTAAGGGATGATAGGAGAAAACCGTACGGACTTCAAAGATTATTAAAACCTGACTTTGACTGCAACGTCCAGTTTCATTACGTGACGAGCGGTTTTGCCCCATAAAAGGAAGGAGTATTAAGTGGAAGTGTCGATTCCGTTCGTCCCATTAAATCCTATTACAAAACCAGGGGTAATTTACTGTAGATTTTGTTTAAAAAGACAATACATTTTCTGGCTAGGATCAGCGGAACCAATTCAGGCGTTGAAATTAGAGCATAAATTTTAAATCTGTAAAATTGCTTGGGAGGTGGGAATTACGCGCATTTAGTTCTATGTGTTTCTTTTAAGATAATCACTTGAACTACAATGGTGTACCGTTGTTAGAATAATAATAACCTTATAAATGTCCAATTCATGTCGATAAATGATACGACTGTTGGCTGCTCTGATCCATGGCATATCGGCATGATAGACGAACAGACGAAAAACTAAATTAATCAAATTGAGGCTTAGGTCATGGAATGAACAAGGTTCAGAGAAGGAGTTGAACAGAGAGATGAAGAGAAACCTTGGTAAATGGGAGTGAGCGATCTACACGAGAGACAGAGAGATGAAGAGAGAGATGGGCATATGCGTTGATAGATGAGAGACAGCCAGCAACAAAAGAGATGGAGACAGATATGCACATAAAGTGAAAGAGAGAGTGAGTTGGGTTTAACGCCGCTTTTAACAGTATTCCAGTTATATCACGGCGTGTCAGCTTAATGTGGGAGGAAAGCCCGAAGTGATACAGGTCTCAGACGTTTACCACTTCGGTGAAACCAACGAGCTCGGGTATGGTGCTGACAAACATAGAAACATAATCGGGGCGAACCGGGATTCGAACCCACAATTACAGGTTTCTGTCGTGCCCAAGGGACGCAACTCTGCACAGAGAATCGCGGCGCCTTAGACGACTGGGCCACCCGTGCCCCAAGAAAGAGAGAGAAGAGAGAGAGACAGAACTTGAGAACGTGATAAGCGTCAGAGAGATGGAGAGAGCTGTGAAAGGATTGTGATATATGAAGAGAGATAGAGAGAGAGAAAGGAGAGAGCGAAAGAGAGAGGTGGGTCACAAGGAGAGACAGGAGAGTATAAGCTGACAATGTCAGAACGATAGTTATAATGAAAATGATTATATTCATGGTATTAAAGATAAATTGCTTTTCCGTACAGATCTGTATGAGACAGTGAGTGAGTGAGTTTGGTTTTACGCCGCTTTTAGCAATATTCCAGCAATATCACGGCGGGGGACACCAGAAATGGGCTTCACACATTGTACCCATGTCGGGAATCGAACCCGGGTCTTCGGCGTGACGAGCGAACGCTTTAACCACTAGGCTACCCGACCGCCCCACTCTGTATGAGACAACTTTATGGGCGTAAAATCCGTCAGTTAATGCGGAAAACTATTGTCATACATATCTTCCTTGAAGATAAAACAAATTATGACATGGTATATCTAGTATTGATTTAGGACACAATTGACCCTTTGGTCTAAGCGTCAGTTTTCTGTTCAAGAGTTGCCTCCCCTAGCTGTGACAGGATACGCTGAACATGAGTTCGAATCCGCGAGTCGCCCTGATTGTGAGCAGAGTCTGTCAGCATCGTACAATTTCCGGAAATTTACCAAAGTGGTTCATTCCAAAGATCTTTTTTCACTTTGAACGTATTCGTAGCGTGATATAAGTGAAATATTTTTCAAAGCAGCGTTAAACCCAATTCACTATTGCATCGAATTCTCGGGGATCTTAAATTATTAGAAGCCATCCCTACGGTATACATATCGGAGCGATCTTTGCTAAAATAAAACATGGAATTCTTCAGATCAAAGGCTTTTTGTTCACGTGAGTGATTGTAGCCGGAAGTGCCACTGCGCTGAAATGAAGAATTAATGACAGTACCGGACTTAATGAATAACAGTGCAGCAGCAAAAATGATTTAAAACGAGGCAATTTGCCTCCGCCTCGCAATTCATCAAGCCCATGTGAGGAGATTGAGAAGGGGGATATCATGGTGTCACTTTCCCATTGTTGAGATAATGTTTGTGTAATGAGTCTGACCACCAAGTACAAACTGCACCCAACAGCCTGCCTCAGACCCCAAAATAGACAGAAATTAACCGAGCATTCTCACATGAAACGAGAAATTAAAATGGACCTTAGGGTGAATTTTGTTATGTACTTTAATTAATTTGATACCGGTCTAATCAATTACATGTCAGTTTTTTGTCAATGTGGTGATGACAACAGTGTGAAATGTACCGCAACGTGATGGAAAGAAGATGGGAATCACCGCGGCATTGTCGTACCGGGGTCGGGGTCAGGTAAACCGGATGCTGATGGTGTGATTAACGCTGTCGAGAACTCTCCATCATCATAATTAGGCTCTAACGACAGCCATTGGTAGGTGGGTGGGTTGGGTTGATTTTAAAGTCGGTTTTAGGGGCAGGCGTAGGGGTGGGGATGGTTGGAGTCTGAATTTGGTGGCGAAGGGTGTAGTGGGGTGGATTCGGGTGTTCGGGTGGGAGATTTGTGTTTTTTGGGGAGTCAGGGGAGGTATGGGGTTGGGTTGTTGGGTTGAGGATGTTGGTGATGGGAAGGTTGTCTGAAGTCGGTTTCGTGGGATTAGATGGGGTGATGGGGAAGGGGGGAGTCGGTGTGTGTGTGGGGGGTGGATGGGGTGGGGGTGGGAGATTTGTGTTTTTTGGGGAGTCGGGGGGAGCAATGGGGTTGGGTTGTTGGGTTGAGGATGTTGGTGATGGAAGGGTTGTCTGAAGTCGGTTTCGGTGGATTAGATGGGGTGATGGGGAAGGGGGGAGTCGGTGTGTGTGTGTGTGGGTGGGGGGGTGGGGGTGGGGGGGGGGGGGGGCAGAACTGGAGTCGGGGGGAGCAATGGGGTTGGGTTGAGGATGTTGGTGATGGGAGGGTTGTCTAATGTCGGTTTCGTGGGATTAGGTGGGGTGATGGGGAAGGGGGGAGTCGGTGTGTGTGTGTGTGTGTGTGTGAGGGGGGGGGGGGGGGGGGGGGGGGTTAGGTGTTGCGTGGTGATTAGGG